TCTGCTGACCCCCAGCATTTTGCACCATTCCGATTTTGTTTCATTGGGATTCCTCACAGAGAAACGTCCAAAGTTTCAATTGGTGTCATTCATGCATATTTCCCACACACACATTTAATGCATGGAGATGCTCATGATGGGTTAGTACAGATCAAGGTTGTTTTATTAGTGAAAGACGCAACAAAATGTTGCTGTATGAAATTTTAACACAGACAACTCACATATTTTTCTTGTTTATATTCTATTTTTATTATTTTTATGATAACTCAAGGTGACAAACCCACAACAACCTTGTGAAGTGGGTTGGGCTGAGAAAAAAAAATGACTGGCTCAAAGTCACCCAGTTGGTAACCAAGAACAATTCCTCTTTCCCCTTCCTCCATCTTTTGTGTGCCATTCACTTAATTCCCTCCCCAGTCATGCTTGCTTACTCCTCTAACAACCTTAGGCTACAGTCCTACAGAATTGCCAAATCTTTTTCCATGGATGGGACAGTTTTGGTTTGATAGGAAAGTTACACCCACAAACACAGAGTGGAAATAGAACTGCTGAGACTTTCTGGTTAACCGATCACCTTCCTCTTAACTTGCTTACATAAAGGCTTGTAGAAAAATGGCATGATATCAAAATCTTATGACTAAATGGTTTCTTTTCCTTGAGAGTTTTCTTTCTTTCTCAGAGATATAAAGTGACATGGCTGAACTAGCCAGCTTCTGCCTACTGTTCCTATTTAAAACCTGATTTTAATATTTGTTCTTTCATGCTCTCTTAGATAGGAATCAAAACCTCTTCCCGACATGAAGGGAAGTCTCTGAAATTCAGTCTAACAAAATAAAATGTGTTCCAGTGGAATTAAATGGGCCTCCACACAACAATCAAGGAACACTCTCAGTGCACTGATCAGACAGATTGCCTACAGATTAGTGAAAAAGAAACTCTCCTTTGGCACATATGATCAAGCCTACTTACAGTTTAGCTGCTTTTGAGTTTTGGTACCTAAATTTGATTTCTTTAGGAGCAGCTACTAGAGATACTACAAACAAGGTCCCTGGATTACCTAATTTTCATGGGGACCACGTGTGCAGACTTGGTGTCTGCAGAAGAAATGTGACGCCAGGCATCTCATGACATCATGGTGCAAATAATGCAGACCACATGATTCTTGACATTTGCCAGATGACAGCATGGCACATGTGACATCACCATCACTTCTACTAAAGAGCTATGGCAGCTCACAGCTGGTGGAGAAAATGCGTTACCTTTGCTATTCTAGGATTTGATTCAAGCCACCCATTTTGGACTTTCAACTTGAATTAAGCCAGATCCCCCCAGGCTAAGAAACTAATGGGGAATATAATATTCTTTGCTTTAAACCAGTTTAGCATCCTGTTTTTGTTATTTCATTATAAATCACCAAGAAATCTAGATAATCCATGATATATGAAATTTAATTCCTATCCAAAATAATAGAAAATGTTAAGAGTTCTAATGTGACAGGTACTTTGCAACCAACAGGACTCTTATATTTCTACTAACTAGACAGAAGATAAATGGAGAGAATTACAGTTTTAGGAATCCCTGGTGCTGCAATGATGTGAGGAAGGCACTTGAGACTATTTCTTCTTCTCTATAATTGCTAATATTTCATTGGTGATGTTCCTATTAGTGACATAGTATCACAGAGCATTACCCAATAGTTGATGACAGCTTTACATTGCCTCTGTTATGACTGGGGGAAGCTAGAAGATGGAGTGATTTAACAGAGGGGAAATATGCTAAGTTAATGTTGCAGACTTGGTAGGATGTGAAAGAAAGAAAACGGTCTTTAGATCTGCTTTGGAGTATGAAGGATTTCGGTGAGTTTACAGGGGATGCTGACTTGTCCTGCAATAGGAATTTAACACCCTTCCCCCAGCAATGAATCCTGACTTCATTGAGATACAAATGTTGATGACACTAATAGAAAAAATGGCTATGACTGTAAATATAATTCTGTAGCTCAGTTGCCAATTTTAATTAACTGTGTTTTTTGGAGTTGTAGAAGCAATTTGCAATAAGATCATGCATACATACTTCACATCCCATAATTATTACTATAATTAAATTCAAACAATTATATTCATAGGTGTGTTTTTGTTTCTTCATTAAACTTCATTTAATTTAAATTAATATTACAAAAACTGCATTAGTGAACAGAAAAAAGAGGTGATCAAACAATGACAAAAGAATAGGAAAAGGGGAGATAGAAACCAATTTTGGCTGTTTCAAATAATAGTATTGTGCTATTCATTTTTCAAAATACAAATTAAACATAGATATGAATCCTATTATCTGATCTTGTATGAGAGCTGACAGGTTTAATTGAATTATACTTAAAATCTGATATTTACAAATCTTTCTAAAAATTATCTTAAATAACATTTTTACTACCATTGTTGTATAATATATTCAGAGCTTTCATACTGTCAGATTCTAAAGTGTACAAATATAATTTATGTTTAATTTATATTAAAGCATTAATTCATTTGCAAGAAACTGCTCCATCATAGTGTTTATTGTCTAATCAAGAAGAAACTACCAATGGATATATCCAAAACATACATACTAATGTTCCCTCAAAATTGTTACATCAGCACTAAAAAATAACAACCATTCTTTTTCAAACCTCTATTGTAGTGTCCAAAATACATCACCATCACCACTGATTTTTTAAACAAGAAATATACTCACATTTTTAAAACCTAAATTATAATTGCAACAAAAGTTACTATGTAGTCTAAATTAGCATATTTTTAATATCTATCTTGATAGTATTTTGTAGTTTTTGTAATAAGGAATTCTAAGTTTAACTCCTGTAAAACTTCTGGACTTTTAGGGACTGGTAAGAATGTCATAGCCAAACATAATAGCTATTTTAACTAAATACATTGCCATTTGGCTGTTTTTAAAAAATGATATTCTTTTTGTAGCTTTTCAAAAAATTTAAAACTATCTTTATATGTTACCTAATTTACAATAATAGTATCATGTTTAATCTATTATTCCAACCATTCTCTCTTATCTTAAAATTTTAAAAATAAAAAATAATTCCAAACACCTGAAATTTCAATTTTTTTAGATCTAAAACCACTTTTGGTTTCTAATAAGGCCTGGATAGGTAAAACAATAACCTAGCTGCAAGAGGTTTTTATTGGTATCAATGATATTGTGATTCTGAAATTAGACTGTAATTTTCAAATTAGTGATCTTAAGATGACACTTTGAGTTGAGACCGAGACATGATAATCGTGTTCTTGTTCACATATTTACAATATTCATTAAGTAAAATTCATTTATATTGATGACAAAAGACAATTGGTTCTTAGCCTACCCTAATGCTTACAAGCAGCAACCACCTTTTTATGATTTTACCTATCTATGAAATAGATTATATCCCAGAACACAGGTACATATTTGTTCTTATAATGCATTACAAATGAAGTTGAGACTTCATAAAGTTTAATACTAGTATATTAAGTCAAAAGTGAAAAATAAGAAATAAAAATTAATCTAGAGTTGAATTCCATAAATCAAGAACAGGAAATATCTGAAATTTGAACTTGAAATCAACCATTTTACACTCCATTTTTTGCATAACTACCTTTCAATTGACTTGCATTCAGAATTCTGAAATTGAAGAAGTGAAAAAGTAAATTTAGGAAGCTAAAACTGTTTAGGCTGCAGTACCATTATAAAAATACATGGTGATATGATAAATTAAAATACAGAACTTAATTTTCTAAATGGTAAGTTGCTGGGAAGTGATTGTATATTTTTCTGTAGCTCACCTAAAACATATCTGATACCCCTTATTGCCTCTATTGTTGTGGCTTTCTTGCAATGTTCTACAAATATATATTCAATTCATATTGTTTTGAAAACACTAATATAAATAGAAAATATGATGGGAGTTTTAGTATGTCAAGGAAGGTACAATAGATTTTACATACAGCCATAATACTTTATATGAATATCATACTCATTTTATTCATCAGTTGCTCATCCTTGTTTTTCCATTTTGATAGTAATTTTGAATGTGGAATATAATTATAGATAAGCAAATATAGATGATGATGATCATTGTAATTATCCCCACCTCAGATTTTATCACTGATTTCTGCTGCACTAACCAACATAATGCTTCAGTTAGAATTATATCATTTCATGGAAATGGAAAAAAAACTATTATAAGATTGAAAACCAAGATTTTAACAAATACAAATAGTCATTAGGGTAGACCAAAATAGTTGTGTAGTTTTTGATAACAGTTTATTTCTGGAGAATAAAAAGACTGCCAGAATACTACAGAATGAACATAATTTAGCAATATGAAATAAAACTTAACATTGCTGAATTTAAATGCATTGTAAGTATGCACTCATTCAATCTTATCTAGATATGTTGTACTATGAGTACTTTGTGAAAAGTTTTGTACACAAAATGTATTTATTGTATTCATATGTCTGGAGAGATGTGACAACTTAAAATTTTATTCTTTACAAATACGTATTCCTAACAGTTATATATTCAAATTTACACAGTAGCCAAGAAAAATATCTAGACTTGGGGACCATTTTAAACATTTACTGATATATACCGGTAATCTGAACAAATCTGTCTTAATACAAGTATTTTATGCAAGCCATTTCAACTGTACACTACAATAAAATCATATACCCATTATTGTATTTCTTCCAAATTTATTCTTCCATTTATATTTCACTTGTTTTTAATTGCAGATATGTTTTTAAAGTTTAAATTTCATTCCAAAAATCAATTTCAGTAACATTTATAAAACTTCTTTGCTAAAAAATGAAAAGTTGGAAAATCACAGAGAGTAAAATTAAATACCGCACACACAATATTTAAGTTCTTTGCATCAGGGACATTAAAACATGATAATAATTTGTACGCCAACTGAGAAGAAATTGCATTTAGATTTAAATGCTGACGGTCAATTACTATTTCAATAATTTTGTTTTCTTTTTGCCACTTCCCCACCCAGCACTGAGTTGAACTGGATGGTCTCGAAATGATATCCGTTCTTTGTGGGCAGGGCTCAGTTGTGATTTCTCAGGTGAAGGTGTATCCTTTTCTACAGAAAGAGAAAATATTCATTTGAATCCAATCATCCTCCTTTAAGCTTAATGGGAAAACAGCAACTTTCCAGACTGCTTTGATTTTATTATTCAGTAAGGTTTCATTGGGACACTTTGATAGAAATGCTGATTTGTAAATATTTACTACAATTGCAACACAATGCATCTATTCAACATACTGAAACAAGAAAAATGTTGGATAACAATAACATACTTAATTCGGAACCATCTTTCACATAAGAGCATAAATATATTTACTTTAAACAAGTATATAATATATATATTGCCTTGATATTAATCGTTTACTACTTCCTAAAACCTAATAATTTTGGGGTAGTTTTAGTGGAACTCAAAATGTTCAGAATTAGCTGGATATAAAGAAGCTGAAAAATTAAACATATACTTTATGATCGTTAAAAATATTTTATCCATTTTTTTTGTAATTTCCCTACAATTATTTCTTGCACATCAATTGCATAGATTTGGACATTTTTTAACCCATCAAGAAAAATCAATGTAATATGTGTAAGAAATAGTGCATAAAACAGGGTGGATAGATATCAAATTGAGACTTTCCACATTTTTTTTTGGGGGGGGGGGGCGGGCATAGCTTTAAAGTAAATTATGCTTTTCTCTTCAGCGGAAAACCCCCCAAATGTCAATAGAGCATTGTGGATGAAGAGACTGAGGAAAGCATTATTGTGGTCTGTTGCTGCTGTAAGCATTACCACACTGACATAATATTGCTTTGCAGTAAAGCTATGGAATTTGGGCTTTTATATGTATCCATGTATATAGATATCATTGAATGAACTCCAAGTTTACTAAAGCTTTGTTTCTGATAAGGTTGGCATATTCCAATTCTGTGCCATACATTGAATATGATTTATTGATGATAGATTATGAACAGGAATTCAGTTTGAAAACCATGATCAATTAACATAATTAGACTTCAAGCAAAATATTTCCAGATGATATTTCAAAATTTCAGTTTAAGAAATAAAGATCTTGATGTACAACAACACTGACATCAGCAAGAAGTATTTTTCTTTCTTATTGTACTAAATAATTTCCACTTAGCACACAATTATTCATTGTAACTTCCCTTCCTCAGATCAACTAGCTAGCTAGCCAAACAGGCAGCCTATACTTACCCTTTCAGGCAATAACCATTAAATATGGATTATTATAAAAAGCTGCAGTAGAGGACATTGTAAAAAAATGGAAAATAAACTAAAAAATCAATCTATGTAGTTTGATGGCTATTGTATTTTTAGGCCATTCTAGCTGCAGTATTCTATAGTCTGGTTTCCAAACTTGGCCTTTTCACCTGTTTGTCTGTCTTTCAGTATCTACTGGTCTCCTCATAGCAATTACTGTTTCTTCTCCTCCTCCATGCTTTTCAGGGTGTCTGTTTGAGAAAACTGTTTGCTGGAAGAAGACAATTTGCAGAATAGAGAGACAACAGGCAGTGGCTAGGAGGGACAGGCTTAGTGAATCATCCAGAAACAAAGATAGAGTCAGAGATTGCAGCATGTCACCTTCTCATTCAATTTATTTTAATTGAAAGAACTACAGTCAAATGAGAAATGAACTTGCCATGTGAAGGGAGAGCTTTCCAGAGATACTATGTGCTGTATTTGATTTCCAAACTACATCCCTATGAATATCATCTTCCCATGTTACATTTAAAAGAAACTTGATATGCAATAGCTGCAAGCAACAACACTCAATACCTGGTATTCATCTTTATAAGTAGCTGAACTACATGTTTGTAAATGCCGTCTACTTATGGAATAAATTTTCCAAGCAACTAAGCCCTAAACAAATTCTATTTTCCAGAATTTTTAACACTGCTATCTCTTGGTGGGTTTTAGCCATTGTCTGTTGGTCAATTAAAGCTCTACTAATACAAAGAACAATTAAGATTAATTCTAAAGTACTGAAAATGTTTATAATACAGTAGAATATCAGTTGGAATAACTCTGGACATGCAGCAAACTCTTCACTGAAATTCACTGAAATTCAGTGACTAAGATCCACACAGGAAACTACATATAAAGAGCTGATCAGTAATGTAAAATGCTGATATTGAATAATGTCTTTGATGAGGTTTCTAATTATGCCAAGTGAGAAAATATAATTGAGTTAGATTCTTTATCTTTAGGCATAATTTTAAATTTGGCAAAATTTTGAATATGTTGAAAAAAAAAGGAGGAACTTCATTGGAGATTTTGAAAATGATATTTTCTTATGAAAGAGTTTAGTCTTAAAACCCCTTCAAGGCTACGGTTTCTGCATAAGATATGGATTTTTTATTTGTCACTACATGTTGCTACCTGTTACAAATATTATATAGTTATGAATTGTTTCTTTGTCCATCTTTTAAGATAATTATTTCCTATCCTCTGGATAAAGTTAGAATTGTTTCCATTTACAAAAGAAAAGAAAAAACAAACACCAACATCTGTTCTCAAGAGTTATAAGATAACCATGTAAATCTAAAACCACAAGACATAACTCATGAAGACATCTCCAAAAAGGTTATTGAAATGAAAGATAATTGTGGAAGAGCACAGCTATGTTCCCAACAGTTCCTATTTAGTCTAATATTACTTTGAAAGGAGAAAATCCTGCTGGATTTCATTCAAAAAATTATATTAGTATTGAAATGGATTCTGATTAGATAACAAGATAAAAAATAGCTTTCATTGGATTGAAAGCGTGAAATGTTTAGTTCTTCTTTGCAATTCCATTAATATCTATATATTTAAAGTACCTACTATGTACAATTTCAATTTAATAGTATCCATTTACTACTCTATTTTCTCTACTTCCAAAATAAAGTACCAGTTTAAATTACAATAGAGAAGTAGTAGAATTTACTGTCTACATAAGTTACTTGGGTATTGGACTTGCTTTTAATGCTTCGTAAGAAAACAGAAGATACTGACAGGTGATTGTTTCTGCTGCAAATAAGCATATCTTTCATGATACTAGATTTATTTTTTGAGAAGAATATGAACATCGCAAACTTTAGTATGTGTCATTTAGTATAATGCATATGATATTTTATTGATCCAAGTAAAACAAATACTGTCTTCATTGATAATAATTGTAATTATCTAACAGTGGCAGGAACAAAACAAAGTACTATAGAGTTTTATATTCTTATGAAAGTATTATTATGCAAGAATATTGGAAAGTACTATTCCATGTAGTGTAATCCTTGCCATAATTTCTCAGAAGTAAATCCATTCTGATTCTCAAGATTTAACCAGCAATATACCTAGGATATAGTATTATACAATTAGGATAGCTCCAAATAAAGATCTAAATTTTTATTCATCAGCAATTATCTCTAAAACACTTTTTAAAGTAACAGGCTCATTATTATAGTGTGTGTGTGTGTGTTTGTGTGTGTGTGTGTGTGTGTGTGTGTGTGTGTGTGTGTGTGTGTGAAATTTGAAACAAAATCACAGGGGTTCATGGTCCTAATATAATTGTTTGGGCCCTCAACTTACAAAGCAAAATTATAGGAAATCTAGAAAAAGAATATAATATAAATTTGTTGCAGCTGCCACTCCGTTACATTCTGTATAAATTAAAATTATAAAAAGTAACCTTCCCATTTATTCATAGATAATGATTATTTAAAGCAAAGCACATGAGAATGTGCCATTTATTTAAGTAAAAGCTACTAAAAAGCAAATGGTTTTAGGACTGTGAGATGAGTACCTGCTTAGGAAATTAAATATTAAGTGTTTGGTAAGACTTACAGGAATAAGTGATTCAATTACAGTTTTCAAGTTAAGCAAAATCATTGACAACTCTAATTTTTCACATGATTGAATTTATAAGGTACTTACAATGTATATATATATGTATATACATATATATATATATTATATATGTATATATGTATAATGCACATATAAACTTAAATATACAAAGATGTTTCCCTTTTTCTAGATAACATTTAATTAGTTAACACACACATGCTAGAGAAATGCAGAAATAAAACTTTTTTCAAGTCTATACATTTTAAATATGCCTTTATACAGTTTTATGTATCCTATATATATATATATAAAACATAAACAGAGTAACATTTCAAAGAAGGACAGAATCCAAAGCAAAAACTTGACCACGCTACTAAAAAAAATGTAATATGGAAACTAGTCAGGTGATTTGTATTTTATCTACTATTATTAAAAAGAAAAAAAAAACAGCTTACTTGAAGATTCTGCAGAGTGTCTGTGTGGCTGATTATTTTTTTCTCTGTTCTGAGTCAAAGTACTTCCACTGGTCAGGGAAACAAGCTCTAAATCCGTATCTTCTCTCCTTACAGGGCTTGTCTGGAATCAGTGAATGTACACAATCATGAAACAAAATATGACATTTTCTGAATGCAGCTCACATTACTCTCCAATAAACAAGCCAGCTCTGTCAAACAATCTTCTTCAGAATGATCCCACAATCCTTTATTGCTGCCTATTCTGAACAAATGCACTATGTCAAAGCATTTTGGTAAATGGGAGTCGATCTTAAAATTGTGGTTTGTGATCAGAATCAGCGCAGCAACGAAAGACAACATTTTAGTACTGTAATTTTGAAAAAAATAAATCTTGCAGACAACTGATGAAACCTTAAACAGCTTAAGATCATTTACTGGGCAGTCTGTAATTTAAAGTTGGAGTTGAATGCCAGAAATGCTATATCTGATTCTTGTTGTCATATGTCCACTTAATCCTATGTAAATATCAGTTTTATCAATTCTATAGTGGTTTAAGTTATTTCATCTTCACTATATAACTAAATTCTAACAGATTATGAATTATTGGTATACATATACTTCAACTATAAGCAAATTTATTTATTTCTAAGTAAAAGAATTACTTTCACATAAGGATCATATCTTTTGAAGCTAAAATGTGTATTAATTTGATTTCTACAAAAAAGACCTGTATGAGTTATAAATGTAATAAAGTTCTCAACTTACGACCACAACTGAGTCCAAAACTACAGTTGATAAGTGAAACATTTGTTAGTGAGTTTGCCCCATTTTATGATCTTTCTTGACACTGTTAAATGAATCACAATAGTTGCTAAATTAGTCAAACTGTTGTTAAGTGAATCTCGCTTCCCCATTGATTTTGTTTGGCAAAAGACCCCCCCAAATAATCACATGGTCCCGGGACACTGCAAGCGTCATAAATATGAGTCTGTTGCCAAGTGTCTTAATTTTGATCATGTGACCATAGGGATGCTACAATAGTTGTAAGGGTGAAAACTGGTCATAAGTCACTTTTTTCAGTACGGTTGTAACTTTGAATGGTCACTAAATGAACTGTTGTAAGTCAAGGACTACCTTTATTTATGAAATCTGTATGCTGAAATATCAGTTTGCATATGGATTAATATTTATGGCAAAATCAGTGCTACCATAAAATGTACATGTGGATGGTATTGATATATTCCTAAAATGAGCTCAGGCTGCCAATATGTTTACAGACATATCTGATTTTTATATATTCTTGGTTTTTGCACGCTTTACCTGTCCTTTTGACTCCCTGTAGAGCTTAGCTAGGACTTAAATGCTAGACCAGTGATGGCTAACCTTTTTGTCTTTGCGTGCCAAAAGTGCGTGTGTGTGCAAGAGTGTGCACATGTGTTTGTACCCATAATGCAATGCATGTGTGACCTTCCATGTTCACCCCTCCCCTGTGCATGTGCCCCTCCCCCTGTGCATGCACGCATAACCCCCTGCGCTACCCTGCTCCTCTATGTATCCACATGGGATCCCCGTGCTCCCCCCGCACCCTGCACATGTGTGTGGTACCCCCCTGAACTCCCCTGCTCCCCTGTGCATCTTCCCCATGTGCCCCACCTTCCATGCATATGCGGCAGATACCCCAAAATCAGCTGGTTGGTGGGAGGCGTGCACGCATGCATAGTGGAACTGAGCTGGGATGACAGTTCACGTGCCCGCAGAGATGGCTCTGTGTGCCACTTCCAGCATGTGTGCTGAAGTTCACTATCATGGTGCTAGACTGTAGACTGCCCTCTACAGGCAGTCAGGCAGACAGCTAAAGCTGGCAAGATGTAGAGTCCTCCATTTTGTTGCACAACTTTTAAGCCATGATATATTTTTTTTCTTTAGGGGGAAAAGCTACCAAAATATTTTATTTCCTTGCTTGCTTTGTTCCTCTACTGTTCAGCCTGGAGTCAAGGTAAGGTTTTTAAAAGGGATACAGATCAGAGACCAAAGAAAGAGTTAGTTTTAACACCTTTTTTTGTGGGGTGGGGGAGGGAAGATCTTGAGGGAAGGAGTGGGGGGGCTTAAGGAAGGGAAAGGGTTAAGAAAGGTTGTCCTGAAGCTGCATTTTATGCAGGGGCTGCTTTCCAAAGCCAGACAAGAGGCAGGAGACCTTTGCAGCCTCCCGCTGCTTAGCAGAAAGCACTGAATGCCATCGCCATTTCTGCAAGGGTTGGGGCCCTGAAAATGGCAGCTGCTTCCAGGAGGCATGGGGTACAGGCCCAAGCACTGCAGGTGGGATGGGCCAGGGGAAGACAGGCAGGAGGGTGGCACTGCAGCTGTCATAACTTTGAAATAGGGTTGTATATAGTTTTGAGGTGTTGGAAATAAATTTGAATCATCATTAAGTGGCCTATTGTTTCTTGAGAACTACCTGTATAGCATTAAAACAACAAAAATTATTACTTCGCCATGATCAAGATATAAGAAAAGTGCCCAGGAAGTAAAGAAGTCAAGGCTCCCTCTTTGAATCTAAAGTGTTTGTGCAAACATGAACGTGAATACCCACACAAAACAAATTTTCCAATTCAGTGTCAGTAGTTAGACTTAGACTAACTTTATTGTCACTTTAAATGTACACTAATCGGCATACATTAAAATGAAATTTCATTGCATACTGCTCAAAGGATCACCACCTCCAATATATGCTACATAAATATGAGAAACAATAAATAAATAAATAAATAAATATGCATATACCCATGTATATTACATGATGCAGAGAAACAATACAGTCTAGTTCAGATGTATACATGTACATGGCAAGAAAAACTAATCCTGCGAGTTTACCAGATGGATGGCATAGGGAACAAAGTTCTTCCTTAATGGCCAGTTGCTTAGAGAGCATTTAAAATTATGATAGACCCCAGCTAAAGATACTTATGATCCGGTTTCTAAGTTCTAATGGCTGCATCCTCCTCGTGGTCATGTGACTGCATTTTGCATGCTTAGCAACTGGTTTACATTTATGCCATTTGCACCATCCCACACTCACATGAGCACAATTTTTGGCATTTTGTTTCTGGTTTTCAGTCTTTATTTACAATTTCCAGCAAAAAATGACATTAGATAAAAAAGATTCACTTAATAATCGCTGCAAAAAAGTTGTGAAATTGGACCTGGTCATGTGGTAACTTGCTTAATAATTGCAGTGTCTCACAACTGTAATTATGAGCTTAATTGCAGTCATAAGTTGAAGACTGTATTCATAGTTGAAACTGGGTTTTAAAATGCAAAAGTGTGAGCAGTGTGATATATTTGCTCTGCAGAGGAATTGTTTGAAACAAATATTTCCTTTCCCCTGCTCATTTTCATGTTCTTATTTTGTACTTCTTGAGGATTTTTACAATGTTCTATCCTAGGACTCCATATATAATAAATGAAACATGAAAATCAAATTATGCAAATACCTCCCAAATACATGTATTTTTTATTAAATGTTTCATTTCGGAAGCTAGTAAATTTAATATTTTTCAAAGAGTTTAAAAAAGCATAAGCATAAATGGATAAACAAGCTGAATATATATATATATATATATATATATCTACTAGGAGCTACTCAGAGGTGGTATTCAGCAGGTTCCGACCAGTTCTGGAGAACCGGTAACGGAAATTTTGAGTAGTTAGAAGAACTGAAAAATACCACCTCTGACTGGAGATTTTACAGTATCCTTCATGCCCCCCAAGCCACACCCACAGAACCAGTAGTAAAAAAAATTGAATCCCGCCACTGGAGCTACTGCATATGAATTTCTGACAGCTATGATAGGAATGTTCATGTATGTCTCCCCGAAATCAGAAACTAAACTTTATATAAATTTAAAATTTAACAAATGGTGACAAAGTGGTTAGAACCTTAAACATTGTAAAAAGTTATACAATTACGGAAATTAGAACCTATTTAATACATATTTCAAAACTATTACAATATAGTTCTACACATCTTCATTTAGAAATTATTATTATTACTAGTGCTGATAAGTATGCACAGCCTCAATCATTTATTGCAAACTTTTATCATGGAAAAAGTATCTTACCACAAACTGAACTCTTCCTCCCTTGAGAACTTCTGGATCTATCTCAGGTAAGAAATGCTTACTATAAAGGGATTAAAAAAATAGTACAACATCAGTGACAGTCCAACATGCATCCAAGTTAATTAAAGTGGGATATACTTCTCTCCCTAGTTAAACAACTTCACAGATTTAGGAATATATGTCTATGATTTTTAGTAATCAACTACAACTTATTCTACATTATATCTATATTTCAAAGGTAGTTAGCTTTATGCAGAGACTGCATGATAAATCTAAATTCTACTTGAGCACACAGAAAAATAGTTTTAGAGTGCATTTGTTTACTTGTTAATAAGCTTAACAATAATCAGTAGAATTTACACTGAGGGAAAGACATTTAGAAGTAGACTGTAAAGATCCTTATATTGGTTATATATAATTATTAACAAATCATTAACAAATTTGGCTCCTTTTTAATCTATCTATCTATCTATCTATCTATCTATCTATCTATCTATCTATC